AAATTAATGGTACTAGTTATGTCGTGGGAAGTGTTGATATTACAGCAACTATGAAACGATTGGGAATACGAATGGAAACCCCTTCTGTTAATGCTACTTCAGGCTTGTTATATTCAAGTTCAATTTTTGATGTTAATAATGATATCAACATAGTTCCTTGTTATTTGAGCGGAACAGGTGTTAGTCCGAAGGAAGCTGGTGTTAAGGTTGAAATTTATTCATTTGAACACGATAAAGTGGACCCAGATTTCTTGGTCGAAAATAGTGGTCAACATCATTACAATAAGGTATGTTAAATCTTTATCAATGACATTCAATTCTTTATTTTACAATTATTAATTTGGTTTATATAATTCAGTAATTTAGCGCACCTGCGTTGTAACGCACTCACCTGATCGACCAATCAGATTGTAAGATCAGGTGTAACGTGAAATCAAAAAAATAGCGATGTTTTGAAAAAATCGCTTGTAACTCATAAGTTGGCTTATGAAACCACCTTTTGCGTTCTAACAAAAAAAATTCCTTGCAAAATTTTGGGTATAACCGACACACTTACAATTCAACCTATCCTAAATTAATGCGTTGTTGGTTTGTTTTGATTTTACGTTACACCAGATCTTATGGGGTGCGTTACAACGCAGGTGCGCCAAATGATAAAATTCTATTAATTTTTATCAATAAAAGTCAATTCTTTATTTTACAATTATTAATTCTATTGGTATTGCCTTAATGCATGTTCTAATTATTTAGCCTGTGTCAGATAGGTTTCAAAATGTAGTAAAGGCCTTAGTATACTGTTTATTTTTTTTAATTAAAACAATCAAATAATTAATATATAGTATGATTAAGATATAGTATACAGTGTAATAATACTGTAATATGACTTTGTGATTATTGTTAATCTGACGATATTTATTTTAAATTCCTTCGCTTTCAATTAAATAGAACTCAAGTAATACTGTAATATGCTAGCAAATTTATACCGTAATAAAAAAATTTTCACTTTTACTAAAACAATTTTTTACAAGATGATATCGAAATATTTTCTTTTATGCATCATTTTATTAATTATATATATTGCAAAAAAGTTACATTTTCGAGATCATTAAAAGAAATTATGTTTCGGGCTTTTAACCTTACAATTTATCAAACAAAATTCTCAATAATTAAGTAGATTAAGCCCAATAAATTATAAACTTTAAGAGCTCAAAATATGATTTGTTCTTGGCAGTACTCATAATACTGTGTATGTTATATACCATACATACAGTTTTGTTAATCGTATAGTACATTACATTATTTTAATAACTATTTGATATTTCATATATATGCAAGAATATTTTTTATTTATCTTTTCAATTACATTTTATGCTGGTTATAGTAGAGACAGACCGCATCCTTGTGGCTTTTCGTACACTAATAATTTCGTCTTGACCAACTTCAAACTCTTCATACGGTGTTCTGTTGGCCCCATACATAATTTTAAGTACCTTATAGGCATTATTAAGCATTCCATTTTACATTATAAGTGATATGCTTCATTTAAGAATATTTAACGGTTTCTAACTTTAGTTAAAAGAATTTTTAAACAGCAAAGAAATTAAAAACTTACATTGAATAACCAACCAACCTGAAAGATCAAAAGCGCTGATAAAACGTTCAATGATGAAATAGACTGAATAGCAATCTTGGAACGATAACCCGAAATTGTAAATGCTTGTTTAAAATGCCTTGATAAT